ACACCACTGCCTGGGGCCTACAAGGCTAACCTGTCTGTCCCTCTCCCCAGCTTGCTGCTCTGCGGGATCGTGGCTGTCACGCTGCAGCACTACGAAGAGGCAGAGATTTTCTTTGAGGATGCCTGCTGCTTGGAGCCAGCCAACGTTGTAGCCTGGACTCTTGCTGGTACAAAAGGAAGGCAGCCTGTGTGCTCAAGGCATTCCAAAAAAAAAATTCCTGTAGAGCCGAGCGTTGCTTCTGCCCTGCTCCCCTTCTCCCTGCTCTGTTCTGAGGGCTAAGGGAAGGATTTTGCTGAGGGACGGGTGTCTGTTCATGCTGCTCTTTCTGTCTCCCATAGGTTTGTTTTATGAGCTGCAGAATAATGATATTCAGGCAGAAATGGCTTTCCGTGAGGCTAAGAAGCTACTGCAAGCACAGCTCGCCAAGGAGAGGAACATCCCTGAGGCTGCTGGGGGAGAAGGAGGAAAAAAGCAAATCTCTCCTGCGTGCCTGAGGTCCCCCAGCCCAGGCCCAGAAGAGTGCTCGCCAGGTAACGCCGGGCAAACCCAGGAGGTACCAGGAGGGGGCTCAGAGCAGCGTGGGGAGTGGGGAACAAGGGAAGGAGAGGAGAAATTCCTAAGTATTTCTAAGAGGAGAGATACAAAAGGTTAAAAGAAGAAGATGAGCTAGAGTAGGCTGAGCATGAACTACACCAGGGAGGGACAGCAGCGGTGAGCGTGCGGCTTTAAATGACGAAGCTTTCTGAAAGCACCGCAGCCAGTGCCTTGTCTTACCCACAGCCTTGCAAAGGGACCTATCTTTGGGTTTCTTTTTCTGCCCCAGCTGAGTGGTGCTGACATACCGATGTGTGGGCAGTGGCCAGGGTGGCTGGAGGAAGCGAGTGTGCTTTTTGAGGCTTTGGGAGGGCAGAGCTGCCCCTGCGACCATCCTACACCAGGGTCACCCATGTTTAGCTTTCGTGAAAGCTGTTGCTGTGACTTCCCAGCACAGCTTGGAACGCGCTGCCAAACCAATTCAAAGGGCAAACCAGCTGCTCGATGGCAACCCTGAGCCAAAGGCTTCCTTTGGAGCCTAACTGCATCCAGCCTCACCCGGAGCCAAGACTTTCTGTCCCGAGTCCCAGATATTTGGCCAGGCTGCAGGAAATGTTGGCTGACTTTATTTTTAGTGTTATCATCGCTCCATGCAAAGTGCCTCAGGCAGGCCAGCCTCATGTGGTATGCCTTCTTTTGCCCCTTCTGGTTATGAGGGAAGAGATATTGCTTCATTCAGACCCATTTCTGGCGTCACAGGGTAATCTTGTACTCAAAACTCCAGTCCCAGGTATTGCCTCCTGCAAAGAAATTTCTTCCCAGTTCTGAAAAGCTGATAGATTCTTCTATTTTCAACATTTCTCCAGAATTATGCTCCAAACTGGGCAATTTATGGCAAACTCTGTTTGCACGTAATGGTTGTTGGGGGTTTCATTCCAGATGACTCAGCCAAAAGGGTGCCAGAGATGTTGGAGCCTGCGCTGGCCTACCCGGAGCCCAAGGCTATGGCACTGGAGGCAGCCCTGAAAGGTTAGAGGCAACGGCCTGACGCGGATGGGAAAGCCCAGTCCTGGGAGGTGGCCTCATGCGTTAGGAGCACTGAGCCACAGCTCTCCTGATGCCAAAGCAAGGCTTCTCTCTCCCTAGCCAGGGAATCTCCAGGCAAAACAGGTTCATCCTGATTTTCAGAGCACATCTCAGGATGGACAGCCAGTGGGTGAATGCAGCACTCTCCCTACCTCTCGCTGCACCCAGCAGCCTCCATCGGTTGCTAGGTTGTCTCCCTCCTGAGATGCCAGCTCTTAAACTGTCCCTATGGATCTCCTCTGGTTGTGTGTTGCGTGATCCGCCTCTTCTACAGCTCCACTCTCCAATGGGTGGCAAAGAGACGGCAGTGCTGCGTGCTTTGGGCCCTGCTGGGTTGGTTTGGGGAGGCAGGGGCCTTGCTGTAGTTAACTCTGACAAGCTTCAATCCTAAATTCCTACCTTTTCTTCCTCTGAGTTTGGACTGGAAAATTTGTGGGTCAAGAGCATTGTTTCTTCTCACATTTCTTAAAAAGCTTAAGCCCTTCAGAAAGAAATGCTGGGTTAACCTCTGCTTCAGGCTGCCCTGCCACCTCCTTCATGAAAGGGAGTGTGGTTTAGGCCACAGAGAATTAAAATTGTTAGGTATTTGCTGGATTGCAGGTAGTGCAGCAATTCCATCAGGTGCTTTAAACAAAACAGAACAACTGCAGATGTCCCAATCTCCAAGAGATGAGTACTCTAGGTTATTGGAGAAAACACGTACCTGGATTTTCTATCCGTGCTGGCCCACTATACTCGCTTTTACGAATAGGAAAACCATGGAAATGGAACCCAGAACATGAAGAGGCCATTAAAACTTTAATACAGGAATTAAAAACATACCAGTCACTAGGACCAGTACACCCCCATCACCCTCTTGTAAGAGAAGGTGGTTTTGCAGAACGCGGCACCTATTGCAGTACATTTCAAACTGGCCCTGATAGACCAAAAAGAGCTTTAGTGTTCAGCTCAACTGCATTTAAAGAGACAGAACAGAGATATTCTGAGTGGGAAAAGGGACTTTTCCTCTGTCCCTGACAGGGTCTCAGCCCCTGCTCTTGCTTCAGTAATAAAAAGGCCATTTTCGGACTGATGGAGACACGTTTTCTTGCAGCACCACCCCCTGGTTCGGGATATAGCCAACGTCCCCGCACAATCTTCATGAAGGCAGTGGAATTCCTGATGAAAGGCAATGCTGTCCAGGTCAGCTTAACGTGGAGGAAGGGAGGTTTGGTCTCCTTCCCTGGGTTATTTTCAAAGATCTGGTGGCAAGCTCCAGCAAGTCCCCTTCTTGGGCTTAGAGAACAAGCTGTGGCTACCCCAGATGCTGAGTGCTGGAGGGAGCAAAGCCACCACTGCCCAGAAATGCAAAGCCGTGGCCAGGCAGAGGATTCAGACCAAAATGCTGGTTGTGGAAACGGTCATCTCGGGCAGGCAAGGTTCTCAGGGTGCCTCAGCTCAGCGCTGCTTGCTGCGGAGGGAACAGCCAAGTCAGAAATGGTGCAAATCTGCTCTTCTCTGTACTCAGAGATGAGATGCATTATTGTGATGCTTCCAAGACAGCAGCACTCCATTCTTGTTTCAGACGCTTGTGTATGTCAGTAATTTTTGTGTCACCTGTGGAATGTCCCTGTCCCACAGAGTCATCTCTGTGAGATCTCTGACTGCCACATTATGCTGCCTGCCTTAATTTTACATGGCAGAAAGAGCTGCTTAAAGCAAAACAGAACTAGAAGTAATGGAGGGTAGATACTGAAAGGAAGGGGGGTGTGGGGTGTGGTAAATCTCCTGTCTGTTTTCTGTTCATGGAAGTCAAATAGGTGCAAGTCAGTCCTTGTGCCGTGTCCTTCTGGGCATGCCTGTGGTTTGCCGGCACTCCTAACCGTGCCGGTGTGCCGTTCCTCCGCAGTTTGTTCACAGGGCGCTTGCCCACGAGCTGCTGAGCCTTCAGGGAGGCCCCTCCTGTGCATACTACCTGGCGTTGGCCCAGACATACTTGCTGAAGGAAGAGTTCTCCAAATGCGAAGAGTGTCTCTGCGAGGCTGTCAGGATTGACTACATGGTAATGCTCCGCGTGTTCCCGGGGCACACCACGGTGTCCGGAAGCAGGACACTGGCCAGACACCGCAGCAGACCCTGTGTTGTTGCTGCTTGTGAACCCGGAGTCTGTGCTTCATTTCCACTTGAGCAGCTGTAATGCTAGTCCGCAGCAATTTCTGCAGGGAGGACAATCATAGCTGATGAGCCACATGGGGCGGTGTCTGCAGCACTGCCCTCTTCATTACCCTGCTTATTACTTCCCTTCTGTCATCTCCTGCACAGATGGGTGGCATTTTGGAGCAAGGACTCCTCTCTCTGCGGCATCTGCCTTTCTTTTCCCTTTGAACATGTATATCCTGATCCTCTTTACCCTCTCTTGGTGAGTCAGGCTCCGTTTCATGAGAAACAAGGCTGCTATTCAGCAGGGAAGGAAGGCAGCTTTGGAGAGGCAGGTTGAATGAAGGCAGAGAGGGCTGTGAAGCTGACACGTCCAAATGCTGTTTGTGTGCTCATGACACCTGGGGCGCTTTGCGAGGGCCAGAACACCGTGCAAGGAAAGGCTGGAAGGGGATCCCGGTGTTGGTGTTCTGCAGGCAGCCCACTGACATGATTTTAACTCTGTGTGTAAACTCTGTCCTGCTATCATCAAACACCAGCTGGCTCTTCCTTTCTGCTGAGTACAGGGGTCCCTGCCCCTCTCCCAGGTCTCTCCCATCTCAGGGCACGTCTCACTCCTGGTTTTGTGTGTGCAGAATCCAAATGTCTGGGCTCAGAAAGGGCACCTGTGCTACCTGAAGAGAGACTTCGGGGAGGCAAAGGAATGCTACGAGCGAGCCATCAGCTTTGTGGACGATGCTGCGGATATGCACTTCATCTGCCTGCGCCTGGGCTCCATCTACCTGGAAGAGAAAGAGGTGAGGAGCCAGCAGGAGTGGAGGAGGGGAATTTTTACACAAAATAGTAGATTCCAGACCCCAGGTAGAAGACACCACTATTAGTAGCTATAGCCAAGATCTCAACACAAAAAAACCTTGGGAGTGCTCAGCTCCTGGGAGCATGGAGCTGCCCTGTTCCTTTGTATCAGGCAAGCTCTCAGGGTGCTGCTGAGCTGTTCTCATCATCCGAGCAATGAGGGGAACTTCTACATTACTGTATTAGTACCTGCCCGCATCAGGGGCAGCAGGCAGGCTCTCAGACCCCCCCCAGCAGTGGTGGGGATGGTGGGTGTCTGAGCCCCACTGGAGATGGGGTGGTTGGCAAATTGCTGAGGTGCGGGGGCTGTCTGTGGAGTGGTGTGTTTGATGGTGAGTTAAACATGACCGTCTCTCTCCTCGCAGTACGGCCGGGCAAAGCAGACCTACCTGCTCGCCTGCAAGAACTCTGCATCCTGTCTCACCTGGCTGGGGGTGGGAATCGCCTGCTACAGGGTAAGTGCAATTACCTTCAGATCATCTGTGCTTTAACTCCCTCTGTGGCATGGAGTGCAGGGTTTGCTTTTGCACGATCCCCTTTACTAAAGTAGAGCTTAGCTGCCTGTGCAATCAGTGCTCCTGGCCCAGCTGCCGTCACAGTCCCAGCGTGGCACCCCGTGCTGCTCACAAGGGAGATGTCAGGGGACAGTCGCCCCCAGGAGCCACTCTGGAAGCAGCAATCCTTCTCCCTCATCCCACTGCCAGCACCTCCTTCCCCAGGATGTCATGGTGAGCATGTAATTTGGGCTTTGCTCTGAGCACCTGCCCGCATGCGACCTGCATGGCACCACGAAGGAACCGAGCAGAATGTTAGCAGAGAGGAATCTCGGTGCTTTCCCTGCCCAAAGGAATCCAGTGCCTCTAAAGGGCTGCCAAGAACACCCAGCAGCACGGTATCTCCCAGAGGGTGTTACCTCTGATCACTCATCATTGATATCACCATCATATCACTGATACATCATGAGGGTCCTCTGAGAGAGTTTGGCTGAGGGAAGCAAACAGGGAAGGAACTTGGACTTCTCTGTTTCCCCCCTGGCCAAATGAACTCCCCCTGGGAAGCTCCAGGCTCGAGCCACTGGGTACCAGCTACCCCTGCCTC